GTTCATCCCAGTGACCCCCCAGTTCATCCCAGTGACCCCCCAGTTCACCCCAGTGCTCTCCCAGTTGATCTCAGTTCATCCCAGTGATCTCCCAGTGGCCTCCCAGTCCCTCCCAATCCCCTCCCAGTCCCTCCCAGTTACCCCCCAGTGCTCCCAGTGACCTCCCAGTTCATCCCAGTGACCTCCCAGTTCATCCCAGTGCCCTCCCAGTCACGCCCAGTTCATCCCAGTGCCCTCTCAGTTCATCCCAGTTACCCCCCAGTGCTCCCAGTGACCTCCCAGTTACCCCCCAGTGCTCCCAGTGATCTCCCACTTCACCCCAGTGCTCTCCCAGTTGATCCCAGTTCATCCCAGTCCCCTCCCCGTCCCTCCCAGTCCCTCCCAGTTACCCCCCAGTGCTCCCAGTTCATCCCAGTCCCTCCCAGTGACCTCCCAGTCACTCCCAGTTCATCCCAGTGCCCTCTCAGTGATATCCCAGCGACCTCCCAGTCCCTCCCAGTCCCCTCCCAGTTAATCCCAGTGACCTCCCAGTTACCCCAGTGACCGCCCAGTTACCCCCCAGTTCACCCCAGTGCTCCCAGTGACCTCCCAGTTAAACCCAGTTACCCCCCAGTGCTCCCAGTGACGTCCCAGTTCATCCCAGTCCCTCCCAGTTTATCCCAGTGACCCCCCAGTTCACCCCAGTGACCTCCCAGTTGATCCCAGTCCCTCCCAGTCCCTCCCACTCCTCTCCCAGTCCCTCCCAATCCCCTCCCAGTCCCTCCCAGTATAAACCAGTGCCCTCACCGGGGTGGGGCCGCCCCCGCTGGGCTCCAGTTGCCTCCCCCCGAGCCACCAGCGCAGCCGAACTGGGGGGTTACTGGGAGCACTGGTGCAGCCCAGGGTGGCCGAGCCGTTCAGGGGAACCGACCCCGAGCCCGACAGCGTCACCTCCGAGGGCGGGTCTGGGCAGGGGACACCAGTATAAACCAGTATAAACCAGTAGAAACCAGTAGAAATCAGTATAAACCAGTATGGACCAGTATGGACCAGTATGGACCAGTCTGGGTCACAGAATGGGCTCCCAGTATCCCCACAGCTCCTGAGCCATCACCACAGAGCTCTGAAGTGTCTCCCAGTATAAACCAGTAAGAACCAGTATAAACCAGTAGAAACCAGTATAAAAAAGTATGAACCAGTATGGACCAGTACAGACCAGTATGGACCAGTCTGGGTCACAGAATGGGCTCCCAGTATCCCCAGAGCTCCTGAGCCACCACCCCAAGGGTCTGAAGTGTTTCCCAGTATAAACCAGTAAGGACCAGTATAAACCAGTAGGAACCAGTATAGACCAATATAAACACATACAGACTCACAAGGACCAGTATGGACCAGTATGGACCAGTATAAAGCACTACGGGTCCCAGTACGGGCTCTCAGTATGTGCCAGTGTGTCCCAGTATAAACCAGTAGGGACCAGTATAAACCAGCATGGACTCCCAGTCCCCTCCCAGTATAAACCAGTCCCTCCCAGTCCCTCCCAGTTCAACCCAATCCCCTCCCAGTCCCTCCCAGTTCATTCCCAGTCCCTCCCAGTCCCTCCCAATCCCTCCCAGTCTCTCCCAGTCCCTCCCAGTCCCTCCCAGTTCCCTCCCAGTCCCTCCCAGTCCCTCCCAGTTCCTCACACGTCACTTCCAGTTGGACGCTGGCGCTTCCGCCCCCTCCCGGAAGTGACGTCACCGCGCGGCACCGCAGGGTGGCGCCGTCGTCTTCCGGGGTCACGCCCAGGACGAGGCGGTTCCGGGTCACGTGGGCCGAGTCGCGGGACCACGCCCCCGCCAGGGGGCGCCCGTCCTGGGGGGGGAGAAGGGGGTGGGGCCAAAGGGGGTGAGGGGCGGGGCCAGATTGGAAGGCCACGCCCACAGAGGGAGAGAACAGAGCTCCCAGTTCATCCCAGTTCAAACCAGTGACCTCCCAGCTCAAACCAGTGACCCCCCAGTTCATCCCAGTGACCTCCCAGTGCTTCCAGTGACCTCCCAGTTCAAACCAGTGACCCCCCAGTTCAAACCAGTGACTCCCCAGTTCATCCCAGTTCAAACCAGTGACCTCCCAGTTCCCTCCCAGTGCCCTCCCAGTTCATCCCAGTTCAAACCAGTAACCCCCCAGTTCATCCCAGTGACCCTCCAGTTCATCCCAGTTCATCCCAGTTCACCCCAGTCCCCTCCCACTTCATCCCAGTGCCCTCTCAGTTCATCCCAGTGACCCCCCAGTTCATCCCAGTGACCCCCCAGTTCATCCCAGT